GTGGTTGAGACACTCACCAGAACTATGCTCACGATAGAGGAGCAATTCCACACTGAAAATAGCAGGTGTTTACTCAATATAAAGTAAAATGTGACTAAAAATAAATAAGCCAAATAACATTTTTATTATAACTATGGGAAACTGATCCATGAATTTCTTTGGTTTTAGGTAGGAAAAGAATAGGTTTGAGACAGAAGCTACATAGAATGCTACAGCGTTCTGTACAATAGTCTTTTCTTCATGACGTTTTCCATTTTTCACTATAAAACATGTCTTGCCAAACCATCAAAGATAAATATTTAATTATTTTCTGCCCAACATTTCTAGGGTCACATATAGAAATTAGCAAGAGCTGAGTTCTATTAAATTACAGTATTAAACATTTTTCTTGACTCACCACACCCACTAGGCGTATAGTCAACTCACATTCAGCCTGCTTTACCTCTTTGCATTAAACTATGATCTCACACTTTCCTCACTTCTTCCAGTCCCAATTACAATCCTTAGAATTCCTAAAATAGCTCACTGTATTGCTTACACCCTGGAACAAATGGCCATAAATGAAAATTACCATATGGTCAGATAGCTTCAGTTAGGTCTCTCAATTCTAATTTATATCTTACATCATCAAGATTAGTGATTCTCAGCTAAGATTGTTATACCCCGTCCGTTTATTCCCCAAAGAAGACCACCAGAGACTGCAGTCAAAGCCAAGCGGCAAGGATCTTTATTGCAGGTTCGAACCTGGACCCCCGACCGAATGTCGAGCGAGAGCCCCGAGGAGGGTTGGGAGCTGTCTTTTATAGTCAGCAGTAAACAAGTACAGAGTCATAGGGGACTTTTGAACAACGCAAGTTTGGGATTGGTGGACATTTGAACAGTGCGAGTTGGCTGTTCTTGATTGGTTCCCGCCATCTCCCGCCATCCGAGTTATTTCAGTTACTCTTCTAACATGTTTATGACCTTTGGCAGGGACTTTCCTAACCGGTTTGTCCCGGCTTCAGTTCCGGGAGCCGACGGTTCCCACAAGATGATGTCACCCCCCCAAGGATAGCTGGCATTATCTGGAGACATTTTTGATTGTCATGACTGATATCTTTCCTGTTTTCTAGTGGGTTGAAGGCTGAGAGGGTGCTAAACATCTTATAAAGCATAGGTCAGCAACAACAAAAAATTATTCAGCCCCAAATTTTATTGGTGCTGAGTTTGACAAACCCTGGTCTAGATTAATAACTGTCCAGGGATTATGAACAATATTATCACATCTCTATCACTTCATTCAGTATGCACAATATACTCAAATAGGTGGATGAATAAATACATGAAGGCAAAATGCAGTAGAAAATAATAACCATTAATGATCTCAACCTTCCTTATAGCTCATTTCTTTCATTTTCTCTATTTTTGTCAAGCCTTCATGTTCTATTACAGCATTCCAGTTGAGCTCTTAGATCTTCAACAGAATAGAAAAGTGAAATAAAAAAGACGGTGCACTAAAATTCAAGAAACCATGGTACTAGTTCCAATTATATCTTGTATTAGAGTTATGACTTGGTAAAATAATTTACTCCCTTAGAAACATGGTTTTCACTTGTTTAAAATAAAATATTTAGATTAAATCGTTATTTTAAGTACTTTTTCATGTAATAAAGAAGAACAAAATGCGAAAAGAAACCTACAGAAACACAATGGTGAAAAAAAAAAAATTCAAGAAGCCAGGACCCCTACTGATTCAGCTTGTCTCTCTTTCCCAACAATGGCACCAAAAGGGAAATTCTTCTGAATTCATTTTGTTAATCACCGAATTCACTGACTTCTATTTTTCTTTGAGTTCTAGTGTTTGATGAATAAAGCAAAATTCATTCATTGTAGGTTCCATTTTTATAATGAAGCAGGAAATTTCCCCTGAACCCTTCGTGGATGGGAAGTGGAGTGCCGGCAATGGGGCTAGCTGACTGCTTTGGTGCCAGCAGCGGCAAACTCCACTCACTTGAACCCATTGCCCCATTGCGCTCAACCCCTTGCAGGAGGGAGCATGCAGGTGAGGGGGTGCAGGATCCAGGGCAAGTGCTTTTAGGCACCGGCAGGAGCAAAAATTCCATGGAAGCCCTGTGGCAGTGTCTAGCAGGGAATACCCACAATCCTCAAAGCCCCAGAGGGCATATGTTAAAATGCTCTTTTAGTTTTGCCATCCACAACGGCTTAGGTGCTAAACAACTCAGCGGGCCCTCTGGCTTTTCAAGTGAGGTGATGGTTCTCCACCAATGAGGGCAGAGGGTCGGGATAACAGCCTTTAGTGTCCACATCCGTGACACCCAAGCTCTTACTGGGTGTCCAAGAAAAATAAGGTCACACAAAAGAAACGAAGGGTTGTTAATGTGGAGGATTTTATTGCTGATGAAAGTGACTCTCAGCGGGAAGAGGAGATGGAGAGGGAATGAAGAAACAAGGTGATCTTCCCCCAGCATCCAGCTGTCCTTGGCTGGACTCCTCTCCAAAGCAACACCATCAAGCCATCCCTCTGAAGTCAAGCTGCTTGTCTCTGACGTCAAACTGTAGTTTCTAACGTCTAGCTGCTTCTCCTCTTCTCTGCCTCTCTTTCTCTGCTGACGGAGCCTGGAGATTTTATGGTTACAGGATTTGGAGGGGGGTGGGCATGGGCGGTTTTAGAAAAGGCAACGTTCTAGTAGGAAAACAGGAATGCCTGTTCTCACTTTGGGCTGTGGCCCCAGGCTTGAGCATGGGGTCTTCACCAGGGACCTGCCCTCTTCTGCCCAGAATTTTCCTGCCTCCTGTTTCTATCAATAATGCTTTGCTCTCTATTTAGAACTAAGTCTTACCTAATAAAATAACTAAATGGTCTTAGATACCATAATATGGTTACATTTCCGAGATAAATACATAAGGGCTTCTTCAGAAATTATTCTAAGACCTATAGTCTCATGCACAATGCCAATATAGTACAGTGAGATTTTAGGTGAGAGCACCATTTTGCTTCTGTCAAATTGTTTGAGAAGAAAGCTTATTCAAGATTTGCCTAAAAGGGACAGTTCTAACATGCCAAGCCATAGAGAAAACCATGTTCCAGAGACAGGGAAAAGAGATGGAAGATCTTTCCCAACAGTAATCACTTGATACAGGAAAAAATATATTTGGCAAATAAAATCCTTCTAAATTCTAAAATAATAAAACAAAATTAAAATTACAAAACAAAATTCTCTTTGTTAACCAATGGATCCTTTTAACAATGTTTGCACAAAAATCTGCAACAGAGATTCTGGAATGCCAGAAAATGAGCAACAGTATAAGACCAGCAAGAGTATTTACTAAGATTTTTTTTGTCCATGTTTTCTCTTCTCTTAATCAGCCTTAGCAATTACATCTGACTTAAGAGTACCTGTTGGATTTTCCCTTTGTTGCATCTTTCCTTGATGTCTTGGTGAGGAAAATGAAAATCAATAGAAATTCTGTGGCATGGCCCTGGCAGCATTTGACTGTATGTATGGCTTCAGAAGTGCTTTATTTAGACTGAATTAAAAATGATAGGGTTCACAACATGCTACACCCAAAATACGGTGCTTTGGCATATTGAATGTTTTAAGCTGAAGGAATTTGAGAAACAAGAGGTGCAGTAAGGACCTTTTCACCTTCCCATGGAGGAAGTTGGAAGACCCTCATTTGAGAAGTGCCCTCCTTAAGACAGAGGATGTTGCCCTAACTCACTACTCATAGCTCCCACCACTTTGTCCAACCACATTTTTTCATGGCTTTCTACTGTAACTGCCCAAAGAGTTTTTCATTGCCCATTGCCCAGATAGAGCCAATTTACCAAGGCAGGAAAATTCCAACAGAGAAAGAATTTTACACACATTGAGCAGACCAAATGGAAGGCTGGAGTTTTATTGTTACTCAAATCAACCTCTCCAACCATTTGGAGGCTAGGTTTCAAAGGTAGCTGGGGGGAAGGGGCAGGGGTGCAGGTGGGAAGTGGTCTTCTTGTGCATTGAGTGGCTTCTGGATTGGGCCACTCAGGAGCAGTTGGCAGGTCCAGGGTCCAGGTGGAGCCACTGGTAGAAGGATTTGCAAAAAACAAACAAACAAACAAAAACCTGAAAAGATGTTTCAAAAGGCCAATCTTAGGTTCTACAATAGTAATGTTATCTGCTTGAGTAATTAGGGAAATTGCCTATCTTGTGACCTACAAAATAATGACTGGCAATTGTTTATGTCTACGCCTCAGTGGAATTGAGGCTCCTTTATTCACCTAGCCTGGAGGTCTCTCATTAGCTTTACAAAGGCAGTTAAGTTTTGGGGAAGGGCTATTATCATTTAAACTACAAACTAGATGTCTCTCATTAGTTTGCTTGGCTTAATCTCAGAAATAATTAAGGGTATCTTGAAGGCCAAAGGCAAGATGAGGATTGACCAGATCAGATCTCCCCCACTGCCATAATTTTCTCACTGATATAATTTGTGAAAAGGTCATTTTACTACTTTGCTTTTCAAACCTAGTATAAAAACACTCAGGTTTAGCTGTTTATTTGGGTTGTCATTTCTTTTTGAAGCTCCAGTGTTACATAAAACCTATATTAAATAAATTTGTACGCCTTTTTTTCATTAATACATCTTTAGTACAGTACCCAGAGGAGAACCAAGAAGGTTTGAAGGAAAATATTTTTCTCCCTACAGTTTCTGGTAATAAGGATAAGATACCACTGTCCAGGACATCCTTCTCAGTCCAGAAGTTGCAGTTGAAATCTGGAAACTTGCCCAGGTTCAGTGACTCACGCCTATAATCCCGGCACTTTGGGAGGTGGAGGCAGGAGGATCACCTGAGGTCAGGAGTTCAAGAAGAGCCTGGCCAACATAGTGAAACCCTATCTCTACTAAAAACACAAAATTAGCTGGGTGTGGGAGCACATGCCTGTGGTCCAAGCTACTTGGGAGGCTGACACAGGAGAATCACTTGAATCCAGGAGGCAGAGGATGCAGTGAGCAGAGATCACACCACTGCACTCCAGTCTGGGGGAGATAAAGCAAAATTCAAAAAAAGAAAAGAGAAGAAGAGAAGAGAAGAGAAGAGGTCTGGAAACTTTGACAAAGTTGGCCAAAGGTAAATATTCTTTAAAGGGTTTATTGGGCTTAAATTTGATTCACAATTGGAATAGGTATACTTTGAAGATTTGGACTTTTACATCCAAAGGATTTTTCTTTCTTGAGGGCTGTCATTCTAAACAAATGTCCCTTAAGTATCTATAGAAATATCAAGTTGAAAGAAAGGAAAAATGAAAAAGAAACAATCTCTTGACTGGTCTAAGAAAAACACACGCCAAAAAACTCCCTTAAAAAGATTAGGAGGTAGAGCTCAGACTTAGAACAAAAGTTACGAATTGCAAAAGGCATTCAGACAGGCTGAGACATAGGTTACAATGGATAGCCAGCAAATAGCTTTGAAAAAGGCCCCAAGGAACCCAGCAAGGCTGTTTTACAGTCCCTTATAAAGTCCACTTATTTCATGAGGCTCTATAACCAAACCTTTTCAGCTCTAGGCCTTCCCATTCAAATTACTTTGCAAATGTATTTTGGACCTCAATCATAAAAATTTACTCAATGGGGGGGAAAAAAAATCTTATAATTACCCTAGATTTCTGACACTATAATAAGCAAACATGTTTCTTAATTTCTTCTTGGAGAAAACCTACATTTCTGTTTCACTTGGAGATACAAATCTTACCATCTCTTTGGAAATACAAACTTCCAAGAAGATAACTCTTGCATTTAACTCAAATGGAGAAACAAGGGAGACATTTTGGAAATAAACTGCCACTTGATATTTTCAAGTAGGCATTTCAAGTCCCTCACCCCAAATGTAGTCCACAGCTTCCATAAGATTCATATGAAATTCTTAAAAGTCTGTTTCACAAATACTGGTAAAAAAAAAAAAAAAAAGTTTTAGCTTCCATTGAGCAAGTAATCTTGACTTATTTACTCCATCTGCTAGAAATGTAATAATACAAAGATGAGAATCAACTCTTATATAAATAAGCAAATTTTGTGTTTCTGCATTTCTACCTCATTAATAGCTAAAATTTAGAATGAAAGCTATAAAATCTCTATTGGCATCTGTATACTTAAAATCTCTATTGGCATCTGTTTGTATATTTATGTGTGTATGTATGTTATGTATATATAATACTTTCTACCCTTGAATGGTTGAAAATTAATTTTAGAAATTAATTAATTTCTACCACAGTAATTTATAAAATTCTCAAAAGAAATTATATTCAAATTGACTTTGAGATAAATGCACACGTATATATATTGTCACAGGTGCATCTGGCTGGGACTGGTGTCGTGGGCAGTAAAATAATTTACCAAGACAGTCGTGGGTGAAGAAAGGCAGATTTATTAGAAAAGACGTGAGATCCATTGTAAGGGTGCAACGGGCAGCACAGCAGAGAAAGGGCTGTCTGCCAAGAGGCAGGGACTGTAGGGAAGTACTAGATAGGTTGTACTGGAGGGGCTTTGTGCAGATAAAGTATGCAGATAAGGTCTTGCTGCTGGGGCTGTGTGCAGAATGGGGTATTTGGGAATAGGATGTCATACCAGTGGGTTGTATGTGATTAGTCATTTCTCAGAACAATTTTTCTCCTCCATCTGGGACCTCTTCCTTGTTGTTGCTTACTTATCAGGACTACACATCTAGTATTCCTAAAAGTCTCAGAAATATAAAAAGTAACCCAAATGCTTTTCAAGTTCATGTGGCTTGAGCAAATCTTTAATAAATAAGGTTAGTTTAATATTGTTAGTGTAATAAAAACAGCTATGTCTTCTGAGTTATCAACATTAAGTATAATACATTTTTATTCTACTTGGGTTTACCAGTCAAATAAGGTGAAAATAGTTAACAAGAAAAGAACTTGAGATGATGACTAGCATTGGTCAGTGTTATAATAAGTCTGCCTAAAAAAATAGCATCCAAAATCTTTTTGGTAACCTGCATTCTTAAAGTTACACTAAGCTAAATTAAATAACAGATATTAATTAAATGTCTGGGTCAGTTCTCAAATAAAGTACTAAGACATTACTTTTGGCATCCTGGTTTAATATGGTATAAAGAAGTTAAATATATTTGGGTCTGTTAATAAATGTGAGGAATTGTACTATGAGGATCATATTCCTCTAAGAAATAAGAGATAATATATTCATAAAATTTGATAGTGTGCTATAGATTGCTAGTATTTGGGAGACAATTCACAGTTGTCTACTTCCTGGTTTTTTCAGTTAAAAAAAGGATACCAATGGCTAAAAATTATAATCGATATATAAAATAAAAATACTAAAAATAATAAAGGAAAAACTTTGTATGCAACAAACACAGGATATATTTTTAACAAAGAAACATACAAGATATGGATACAAGAACATATACAAGATATAAAAGATGAGTTATTGTTAAGAAAAAAATAGAGTAATTTTATTCAAAAGTAAGGTGACTAATTTTTCCAGAATTAAGTAGAGACAAATCCTGAATAGAAAGTTGTAAAAGGCTTGCATAAAAGATATCTTATCTCATGTAGTTAATTAAGCTGGCTAAGACTTAAATGAATTTAGTATAAAGTTTTAAAATTAGCTTTTAAATCAATAGAATACCTATGCAAAAGTAAAGTTTAACTTTTTCTGTTAAAAGGACAAAGATTTCTTGATTTAAAAAATATTTTTGTTTACCTATTAAGTAATATGCCTAAGAAACAAAAATCCTGTTTAATCAAAAAAAATTTTCCCATGCTTTATGTTATGCTTAACAGACCTTGATTACTTCAAAAAGCTCAGTCTCAATATTAAAAAATAAAGTAAGAGTTGGGGTTTTGTTTGTTTTTTTGACAAGTATATTACTTTCTGTATTTGCCTTTAAAATAGTTGTCACTTTGGTTAAATGGATAACTATTGTTTCATAGTAATCTGGGATTCTACTAAATCAAGGGTTCAAATATTTAAATATATTTGACAAATTTCCCAAAATCAAATGCTAAATATAGTCTTTTTGACATCAAACTAGCTTTGAGATTTTCCAGAGAGCCCCTAGAAAATATCAAATAAAGGCCGGGCGCGGTGGCTCAAGCCTGTAATCCCAGCACTTTGGGAGGCCGAGATGGGTGTATCACGATGTCAGGAGATCGAGACCATCCTGGCTAACACTGTGAAACCCCGTCTCTACTAAAAAAAATACAAAAAACTAGCCGGGCGAGGTGGCAGGTGCCTGTAGTCCCAGCTACTCGGGAGGCTGAGGCAGGAGAATGGCGTAAACCCGGGAGGCGGAGCTTGCAGTGAGCTGAGATCCGGCCACTGCACTCCAGCCCAGGCAACAAAGCAAGACTCCGTCTCAAAAAAAAAGAAAAAAAAAAAAAGGAAAATATCAAATAATTTCTCATCTTGTAAAGGGAGAAGTGTTTAAGCAGATTTATTAGATATGTAAAATTATATAGTTACTAAATGTTTAATAATTAGTTACTAAATATTTAACTAGTTATATTTATTTGAATTTTAAATTACAAAGTGAGGACACTTACACATTTCTAGGACTTTCATACAATTTGTGATCTATGTATTAATAACATGTCTATGCAAATATAACATGAAGGTTTATAATCACTTCTTATTTGGTAATGCAAGTATGGGTTACATGGGACTAAATTAACTGGGAAAAAAAGGGCTTAAGATTTTCATGGCCCTTTTGTTAAAAACATTGTGGTTCTCAAATGTTTTCTTTTCTAGATTTAAGGAACTCTTCTTCCCTTTCCTCTTAAGCTATCTATAGCTTACAGCTATTTGATAAATTATGCCTTTATAAAAAAAAATGAAATATTTTCCCTTTATCCATACTGATCCCTTCACGAATAAAAAACTACTATTGAGTATTCTTATTTTTGTAGCAATACAATTATTTGCATTAAGTTTAATAAGAATCTGTTCTCCTTGTAACAGGACGTAATTGTCAACATTGGTTATATTACCAAGGCTTTGACTGGAATGTTGTGCACAAAATCAGAAGAATGAGATATGACCAGAGAGTTTTAAGGAACTAAGGCTGATTTTATGGAGCCAATGCTTATAAAATCCCTTGGAAAAACTGGCATGATACCTAGTTACAGGATTCACAGCCTTATGGGTGAGTAAAGGAGCTCACCTTCTGCCGGTTCCAAGAATCTCAGATTATGTTGGAAACCTCAAGAAAACAGGGATTCACTCAAACCAATAGGTATTGTAGGAAAAGTCTAATGCCCTGTTCCCGGCTTGTCCTCTAGCCTCAAGAGGCTTTTAAAAGTCCAATCTGAGATTCCTTATAAAAAATTACAGCAAAGCAAGCTAAAGAAAATCTCACATAGTAAATTACTGTTTTTTCCTGTACATATGTAAATAACAGGCCATGTGTAATGAGAGAAGACTTAGTTTGCAAACAGATTAGTCCTACTTTGATTATCTTTGATAGAAATGGAGGTGACTAGAGAGACAAAAATTATGTTTCAATGGCAAACTATATCACATCATCTGAATTATACAATTCCATTCCCACTGTTCATTGAATTTGAAGTTTTTTTATCTACTGTAAACTGGATGGAGCCTGATCAATTCTTTTAGCTTCCTTGAAAACGTGGTTACAACTCTAACATTTTACATGATTCTTTTACCCCCCTGATTTGGCACCACAGAAAGCTAAAACCTGATTGCTCACATCCTTATTTGGAATACCTAAAAAAGCCTTGCAAGCTGAAACTGGGCACTTCCATACTTTGCTCTGAGAATAAACATATTGGTGCGGTACAGCTTGGAGATTTCTACCCTCCAAATCTCACGTTGAAATTTCATCCACAATGTTGGAGGTGGGGCTTAATGGAAGGTGTTAGCATCACGTGGGCAGATCCCTCATGGATGGTTTGCTGCTGTTCTTGTGGTAATGAGTGAACTCTTGTTCTATTTGTTCCCAGGAGAAGATGATTTAAAAGAGCATGGCACCTTCTTCCCCTCTCTCTTTTTCTTCTCCTTTGTCACGTGACATGTCTGCTGACCTCTGCCTTCCACCATGGGTGGAAGTTCCCTGAAGCCTTCACTAAAAGCAGATGCTGGTGCCGTGCTTCTTCTACAGCCTACAGAATTGTGAGCCAAATAAGCCTTCTTTTTTTATAAATTATCCAGCTTCAGGTATTCTTTTATAGCAACACAAACAGACTAAAACACAGTGCCATCACTAGAGGCATTCAAACTGCAAACCAAGAAATGTGTTGGATGTCCACTGTTACTGTCACTCCACCATCTCAGGATACTTTCAACTCAATATCTAGAAAATTTTTAATTGCACTCTGGATTCAAAAACTGAGTTTATAGCTTGTTTTAACAATTAACCTTTTTTAATTTGTGTTTTCATAGAAATACCCCTACTTAAATACCTTATTGCTTATACCTCATAGAGGTTTAACTTAGGTAGGCATCCTACTTCTGCCAATACTACTGAGTCCAGAAATAAGACACAACTCTTTAAGCAGAGGAATCTAATCCCAGGACCGACAGACTGGTTCAGTGACATATGGGACAATCTGCCAACTCAGTTTCTGGGCTGTAAAACTTTTGGGGAAAAGTTGCAGATGGAGAAATCATAGGGTTCAGAACATACTACCCCAAAATATGGCACCTTGATATATTGAATGTTTTAAGCTAAAAGAATTTGAGAAAGAGTAAGTGCAGGAATGACTCTGACTTTTCCCTGAAGAAATCATAAGATTTTTGTATGAGAAGTGCCCTTCCTATACCTGGGAGAAACCAGTGTCCTTATCTCTGAAGATGAAGAGAGAGAGGCTGAGAGGTATCTAAATGAACAAGCCTTGATAAGTTAACCCCAGTTTACTACTCTTATCTCACACTCCCTAATCCTACCATATTTTTTCATAACTTTGTCTCTTCATCAAACCTAGTATAAAAAGAGTCGGGTTTAACCATTTTTTCTTTGGGATCTTCATTTCATTATGGAGTAGCCCATGTCACATTAAACTTACAGTAAGCAAATGCACCAGGTATGGTGTTGCACACCTGTAATTCCAGCACTTTGGGAGGCCGAGCTGGGTGGTCACTTGATCCCAGGAGATCGAGACCAGACTGGGCAACATGGTGAAACCCCATCTCTACAAAACATACAAAAATTAGTTGGGTGTGGTGGTGCATATCTGTTGTCTCAGATACTTGGGAGGCTGAGGTAAGAGGATTGCTTGAGCGCAGGAGGCAAAGATTAGAATGAGCTGAGATTGTACTTCTGCACTCCAGCCTGGGACACAGAACGAGACTCCATTTCAAAATTTTTAAAAAAGTAGTTTTTCTTGTTTTGTTTTGTTGTTTTGTTTTTTGCTCATCTGTCTTTCCTTATAGGCCTCAACTGAGATCCTAGAAGTGTATAAGGAAAATATTTGTTTTCCTCCCCTATAAAATAATTGAAATGTTAATACTTCAAATCTGGTTAAACCTATTCAGTGCTAGAAAGAATTCATGCCTCAACTCATACAAAGTTTTTCTTTATCAAATTTTCTTTCTTTCTTTTCTTTCTTTCTCTTTCTTCTTTTCCTCTTTCTTTCTTTCTTCTCTTTCTTTCTCTCTGTCTTTCCTGTTTTCAGACAGAGTCTTGCTCTGTCACCTAACCTGAAATGCAGTGGTACAATCTCAGCATTACAGACATGTGCCACCACACCTGGCTAATTTTTGTATTTTTAGCAAAGATGGGATTTCACCATGTTGACCAGGCTAGTCTCAATCTCCTGACATCAAGAGCTTAAGAGATCCACTCACTGAGGCCTCCCAAAGTGCTGGGATTACAGGTGTTAGCCACTGTGCCTGGTCTCCTTCTCTTCTCTTCTCTTTCCTTTCCTTTCTTTCTGTGTAGTGTCAAATACCTTGAGTTTCTTAAATTTTTTTTTTAAAATTTCCCAAGTAACTATTGTAGAATATTAATCCCCAAATATGTTCATTTATTAAAATCTAGATGACCAAATACACACTCGTGTGGATATATTTTGTTCCCATTTGCCAAACAAATTTCCTGAGAAGTCTTATAGTAAAAATAATGTTAAATTGTCTTCCCAACTTATTTCACCATGGTACTATGTCCCAACCTTTTTCTGTATATTTTTTCAAGTAATAGCTATTAACACCTGTGAAGGTATCAGGAAAAACTGGAAAATATTGATCATTGATTTTTATCTTCCTTCCCTTCTATTTTTTTCAATATCTTTTGAATCTGCACTTTGAACTTCCAATATTCTACTCCCTTAGTAGCACAAGCACTTTTGCGAGAATCTCTGTGATTCTGAATTTTTTATTTAAATAATGTCTTTTAATTCTCTACTCTAACTGGATCTCTGTAGTGTATATAAAACCACCCATTACTCATTACTTGATTATCTTGTGTCCCCCATCAAGATTTTAAAAATATATATTTCTTGATTTTCCTCCTATATGTCTTGCTATGATTTGAATGTCCCCTTTAAAACTCCTGTTGAAACTTAATCCCAATGTGCAAGTATTGAGAGATGGGATTATGAAAAGTAACTGGATCATGAGGACTCTGCCCTCATGAATTGATTAATCCTTTCATATAGTAATGGCTTAATGGGTTGTCATGGGAGGGGAACTAGTGGCTTTATAAGAAGATGAAGAGATGTGAGCTGGTGTGTGAGCCTGCCAAGCCCACTCACCTGATAGCCTGCATCATCCCAGGACTCCTTAGAGAGTCTCCACCAGTAAGAAGGCTTTCACAGATCCAGCCCTCAACCTGGGCTTAGCCTCCATAATTGTAAGAATAAATCTCTTTTCTTTATAAATTACCTAGTTTTCGGTATTCTTTTATAAATAACAGAAAGTGAACTTATACCTGTCTCCACCTAGAGCGTATTTCCATCAGGACTCTCTCCTTAGTTCTATTATTTATTTTGTTTTATCCCTTTTCCTTGTGTGATTTCATTCACTACATGCTTTTTAGTTATAATGATTGGATGCTAATGACTCTTAAACCAGTATTTCCAGCCCAGACCTCAGTCTTGATCTTGAAAATCAAATTTTAGTAGTTCCCAAATACTACTCGGAGTTCACAAACTTTTCCTGGGTAGGAAACTTCCTCTCCCTCACCCCTCCTCCTCCCTTCCCCCCCCCCCCTCCTCCCCTCTCCCCCCCCCCCCCCCCCCCCCCTTATCCTCCTTCTCCTCCTCCTCCTCCTTCTCCTTATTCTCTCTGTCACCCAGGCTGGAGTGTAGTGCCATAATCACTGCTCACTGCAGGCATAACTTCCTGGGCTTAAGCAATCCTCCCCTCTCTGCCTCTTGAGTAGCTGGGACTACAGGCATGCACCACCATGCCTGGCTACTCTGTTTTGTATTTTTTGTGGAACCAGGGTTTCACCATGTTGCCCAGGCTGGTCTCAAACTCCTGGGTTCAAGCAATCTACCTGTGTCAGCCTCCCAAAGTGCTGGGATTATAGTGGGATTATAGGCATGAGCAACTGTGCCTGGCCTCTTTTTTTTTTTTTTTTTTTTTTTTTAGAGCAGCACTTATTATAGTGCCTTTATAATTGCACAGTTCTAATACTTGTTGGTTAAATCAAAATTTAGAACCAAACAAGCTACATGGATTAGTAATTCATCTAAGAGTTTGAAGTCAGATTAATTTGCCATTGGTCAAATCACTTAATTTATTCAGCTCTGAGTTTCATCTGAAAACTGGGGAAGGTGGACTAGATAATTGCTACGCTCACTATTATCATTACATTTCTTTTTGAAAAAATGGAAAAAATGTTAAAAATTATTTAAAACAAGAGAAGTTTTGCCTATGAAGTTATGGTATTTCAGTACAAATATACACATTTAATACATTGTTTTGAGTGCCAAATTAGTGTCAGGCATTGGGGTAAACATTTTAAGATGAATAAAACATGCTAAAGATATGTAGAAAAAAATTCTAAAGAAAGTGATTTACATTTCTATTTAAAGTTTACATTCTCCATATATGAGTTAAAAAATATGTTCTACCAAGTCTTAATTGAAACTAAAAAGAGCTTAAAAAGTGACTGAAAAACATCATAAATTTATTGTTAGAGGAACCACTGAAGAAATGTACAATACTAAAAGCTTTTATAATTTTGAAACTTCAAATAAAATTTGTCCTAGTTGCAAAGACTTAAGAATACAGTCTTCTGTAAAAAATATTTGGACCATTTTAAGCACTAAATAATTATTTCATTTTTTGTTTGTCATAAATTTTGAAAAAATTAAGGAAAGTCAGAAAATAATACTGGCCTAATATTGATCAGAAATGCTGTAAGGTCAAATAATGTCACCTACCTACTCATTATCCATGTTAATGGAGAGGTTATGAATAAGGCATGTTGCATATAGTAGTTCATAAGTGAAAACCATCTGTAATAGCATTGGACGCCCTGCTGGTGTAAAGTTATCACGGTATTTCAGAGCCACATATATGAATCAGAAATCTCAGGGGATTGAGAGAGATTTCAACTTAACTCTTCACACTGGAGTGAAGAACAATAAGAAAAAACTGTAACTGATATAGATTGACAATCAGTGATAAGAGCACACGTTTTTTCCAGCTACTTTTATGTTTTTAAAACTTGGTCTAAATTATGCAGAAAATATTACATAAAATACTGGAAAAAAGATATAAAAGTAAGTGAGATGGGGAAATATTTCTAATACTTGAAGCCATATATTTTAAATTTTTGTCTTTATGGAATTCTAAGCATAGAAAAAAAGTGTTTGTTATCCCTTTTTGGACCCTTTTTGCATTCAGGGACCAGACTTTATTCAACATGATATTCTCAATATATAGTAGAGTATGTGCCCACGAGAAGGTGCTCCAAAAGCTGTTGAATCTAGTTAAACTGAAAGAAAACAGGAAGGAAATATGTGATATGTTTATGATAGTTATTACCATGCCAAAAAATAAGTGTGTAAATACAGTAGAATCTCTTTTAACTGGTCCCCACTAAAATAACCCATTGGATTTACTAAGAATTATAATTTACATTGCAAAACATAAAACTATGTTCATCATCTGAAGAATGCCCAAGGCTACTTAATTATATTCTAGTATTCTCACATTTCTGTTACCCCCAGATAAGCTCCATACTTACCAAGAATCATTTTTCTTCCCAGATCTGTTTTTTTTCCAAGTGTACTTTTTATTACTTCCTTCGTTATTTATATAACCTAATGGAATATGAGCATGGAAAGAGCAGTTCCTATGAAAACTATGTTTCATGGTTTCAAAATATACTAATAAAGGCAAGTTACAAAAAATATTCTTGAATTATGTGCAGAAAGAGAAAAATAAAAAAGATTGGGGGTGAGAATATAAGATCTCTGAGGACTGTAATCTTGCATTGTTTCACAAATGTCTGAGATCTCATTTCACTTAAAAAAAAAACCAATGGGGAAATAAATGACAACACACTGTGAGTATAGTTTATGCAAAGAAAAGAACATAGCACTTTAATCAGCAAACTCATTAAAATAAATTTAGTCCTACTTCAAAATATTGGAAAATGAATGACAGCTTAGTGTATCTTTATAAAACATTTCATGAGTTATATGACTTAAATGATTTTTCTTATTAATTGATAATTAGACTAATCATGTTGAATAGAATACTTCCATGCTATCCAATTTAAGTGTGATATATGATACCAAAAATCTATTTTAAAAATACTTCCCCTGGGTACCTCTTCTTCCTGGTAAGTCCATTTCTTTCTTTTTACTCATTCTACCATGACAACTTGGCCATGGAATGTATCACCCCAGGTAAAAATACGGTACATTCAGCCCAGAAAAATGCAATCGCTGTTCAGTTTCAAATTGACTTCAAAGTGACTTGTTCTTCCCCACTGGCAAAAACTATCTTCATATTCTGACTATGTCAACAGCAATATCAGAATCTCAATATTCCAAATAATTTTGTACCTAGTAAGATAAATGCCAATGTTGGATCAAAAAATATGTATCAGGTATGCTTTAGTTAGTGGCCTTTCAATCACTTATAGATAACTTTTTTAAAATTCTGTCCTTGCTAAAAACGTACTTAGAAAGTTTTATTTGGTTGT